GGTTTAGGGTTTCGGTTTCGGGTTTCGGGTTTCGGGTTTCGGGTTTCGGGTTTAGTTGTTAGTAGAGTTGGCCCTCAAGATCACCTCAGGCCCTCGGCCCCTTGAGCCCTCAACCAGGCAACTGCTCGCACTTCATGCGATCCTCGAGCTCCGCTCCTGCCCAATGGCAGAGGCCTCTATTCAGTTTGGCCTGCTCGGGCCTTGTGGGTTGAGGGCCGAAGGTTCAGGGTTTAACATAGGGGTCGGAAGAATTACTAAGAGTATCACCTTGTGGTCCCTTTGTAATTGTACTATAGTCAACCCCAAAACCCTATTCTCATTGTTAAGGCCCCTATAGTACGTGGGTTGAGGTGTATGGGTATCTAGTTAGTTAATGTAGTCAGGATTTGGAGGGCGCCTTTGTGAAACAAGGCCTCAACACGACGCAGCGCTCTCACCTTCAGGAATCCAAACCCTAAGCCCGGAACCTCTAAAGTGAAGGTCCCTTCGGCACTTTTTTGAAGAGCTTTTTTTTGAGATCTTCAGACGCCACTATGGTATCCATGCGCCGTAACCTGACATGCACTTCTTATTACGCATCTTGGAAATGATGCCCACAGAGACAAGTGTCACAGCAGTACTGCTTGAGAGGGGTATTCGGTTCGTTTCGAGCTGTGCCCGTCTAGCTGCAGGCATGGAACGGAGCGCCCGGCTAAAGAAGTGTGGTGGGTTGAAAGGAAAGATCAAGCTGTGCTGTTTGGAGCGATAGGGGCATACCTTTATCCCCCTTGTTTTTTGTTTATATAAAACCCAAGAGAGGATATTGAACATATCATTTTTATTAAGGTTCTAAGGGGAGTATAGATACCTGTTCTGTCTCCCATGTGGGTACAGAGCTTGAATGGCCGCGTTGGTGTCCAACTTTGTACGTTTCCCTTCCAAAAATCCACATAAACATAAGGATCCTACTATTGGGGTATAAGGGCCCCGGGATTCCGAAAAAAACCCTGTTTGTAGGATCCTTATGTTTATGTGGATTTTTGGACCCCTATTCGAGTACTGCCCCTGCAGGCCCACCTCTGCCCCCCTGTCATCCACAGCCAACCCTAACACCCTCAACAAACCATAATTAGGCCTTAACAAATCGAAGCCTTCCGCTATTTCAGAAACGAAAAGGGTTTAGGCTTGTAAAAAGCCCTCTTCTGCTAGTGGCTTTTGAAACCCTCGCTTTCTTACATTAACAACCCGCAGGTCCATTCTGAGTTCCAAAGCGCTGGATCTGTCGCAGCCTCAAGTGCCGTGACCAAGCTCCGCGCTCCCTAAACCCTAAACCCTAAACCCTAAACCCTAAACCCTAAACCCTAAACCCTAAACCCTAAACCCTAAACCCTAAACCCTAAACCCTAAACCCTAAACCCTAAACCCTAAACCCTAAACCCTAAACCCTAAACCCTAAAACCCCTAAACCCTAAACCCTAAACCCTAAACCCTAAACCCTAAACCCTAAACCCTAAACCCTAAACCCTAAACCCTAAACCCTAAACCCTAAACCCTAAACCCTAAACCCTAAACCCTAAACCCTAAACCTAAACCCTAAACCCTAAACCCTAAACCCTAAATCCTAAACCCTAATCCCTAATCCCTAAACCCTAAACCCTAAACCCCCAATCCCTAAACCCTAAACCCCAATCCCTAAACCCAAACCCTTTGGGCTTCTTGTATCTATCAGTGGGGGGGGGGGGGGGACATCCCCAAAAGGGATCCTGGGGAATCCCCCCAAGTGAGGGAGGTTCCTACTCCCCCAATACTCCCTAAGGCTCCCTAGGCTTCCTTAATTTGCCCCAGGTACCTACCCCCGATGATCCCCCTCCCTTAAGAACCCTTATAACCTAAAACCCTAAACCCTAAGCCCTAAACCCTACACCCTATAACCCATAACCCAAGGTTAGATCTCATCGACAATCGCTTCGGCACCCTGGCCTTCTGCCCGCGGTGGCTTCAGCAGGCTGGGACGTTTTCAAGCAGGGTTGAGGCTTGAGGCTTTAGGGTTTAGGGCGATTTAAGGTTTAGGGTGTAGGGTTGACGGTTGTGGGTTTAGGGCGATTTAGGGCTTAGGGCCTGATTTCCATATGTGCATCTCCCAAATGACGGGATACTGTACCCCACCGGAAACACCCCCGTCAAAACATGGCCTAAACCCTAAACCCTAAACCCTAAACCCCAGAGTAGGCCCTGACTGAGCGCTTTGCAAGGCTTCCGCGCCCAAGAAGTGTAAGACTGCACCTGCCAACCAGGCCGGCGTTGCTTATGAGCCCGTGATGTCTGCGTGTGGGAATTCTCTGAATTCATGGACCCTTTTTCCCTATACAGTGCGGCGCCCTTGTAAGGACCGCCACCCCCCCCCCCCCCCCCCCCCCCCCAAAGCGACCCTAGTGTGCAGAACAACCCATGTGTGCATTGTGCGACCTGACCTGTGTGACCGTAAACCCTGTACCCTAAACCTAAATAACCCTAAACCCTGAACCCTGAACTCTGAATCCTAAACCCTAAACCCTAAACCAAATTGAACGCAGCACTGGTGGGCATCGCCTCTGGATGAGCTTTGCAACGTCGGTGTGGTGAACAGGCCCCGAGCCCTTGGTTGACAGTTTCTGTGTCGCTTCTTTGTCCTCAGCTTGTGGTTCTTTGGGGTTTAAATGGGTTTAATGTTTAGGGTTTAGGGTTGAGGGTTGAGGGTTTAGGGTTTAGGTTTTAGGGCTCTGGTAGCCCAGTGATACCCTTTACCCTTTTTGTGGTACTGGGGTCCCTTACAACGTAACGTACCCCCAAAAACAGCCCTTGCCAGAATATGGTTACTGGGCTACCAAGGGTTGCAGTTTGTTTTTTTTTTTCAGGAGCTTCCAGCAAGTCGTAGAAGACATGAAAACTTCCGAGACTCGTGCTTAGAAGATGGCGGACATCAGGTACCCGCCAATGGCAGATCTTCATGGGTCCTACACGGCACAGCCCGAAGCTGAACGCAGTGGAGGGAGCCCGGAAGACATGAGTGCATGGCCTTTCTGTTGAGCAGCCCCTGGCGCCCTAAGCCCTAAACCCCAAACCCTAAACCCTTCACCCTTAACCCTAAACCCTAAACCCTAAACAGCCTTCAACCCCCAAACCCGAGATCCCAAGGTACGAGCACACCATCTTACTTGGCAGTTCCAAGAAGGAAGCCGCGGTCTCAGCCACCCTAAAACTGCCTGAAGCTCTAAACCCTAAACCCTAAACCCTAAACCCTAAACCCTAAGACCTGAGCCCTAAACCCTACAAGCCCTAAACGCTGCAAGCCCTAAACCCTAAATTCCTTCAACCCTTCAAGCTCCAAAACCCTCCAGCCGAAACCCTACACCTCGGGTGCTGTTGCTTCGTCCTCTGGTGCCAAGACCCGAGGTGCTGACTCGTGGCCGTGGGCTGAGCGTCAGCCTTCCGTCGGGGTTGAGGGGTTCAGGGTTTGTAGGGCTACCGTTTGGGGTAGAGGGTTCGGGGTTTGTAGGGGTTCTGGGTTTAGGGCACGTTGACGGGATTAAGGGTTCAGGGAAGGTTTTGGGGTTGATGTGTGTTGTTCTTTGAACATGACTTGGGCCCAGCTCTGCTGAGTTGAGGTGATGATTACTGAGATGCTCCCGATCGTTTGCTTGCGCGGCGCGCGCGAAAGAGAGCGAAGACCATTCTGGTTCTGCAGGTCTGTGTGCGAGAGCCAGGTCCATGAGCCACATCCCCTAAACCCTAAACCCTAAACCCTAAACCCTAAACACTAAACACTAAACCCTAAACCCTGAACCCTAAACCCTAAACCCAAAACCCTAAACCCTAAACCCTAAACCCCTCACAAAAACGGATGCTTATGAGCCGCTTATGAATTTGATTTGAACCTTAGAGAGCCCACGACTTTTTGTTTAAGAACCCCCTGGAAAATATTCCTTATAAGGGCAATATAGGGCTTATTATCTTCTCTTTTTGGCTCCTTTTGGGGGTTCTTAAGCAAATAGTAACTCTAAACCCTAAACCCTTAAACCCCAAACCCTAAACCCCTAACCCCTAAACTCCTGAGTTTCTCCTCTGCGCCTTTATTTGCTGTGGCATGGCATAAGGGCCTGCAGGCTCAGTTGGGGCAGTTTAGGTTGACGCTCTCAGGTACTCTATGGGTTTAAGGGTTTAGGGTCTGGGGGTTTAGGGTTTAGGGTTTAGGGCTTGCAGTCAAGGTGTGTGGGCTGCCTCTCAGAGAGTAGACATCATAGGAATGTGATGCGGGTGTCCTGCAATGGTCCGTAGCTCCGACTAGCAGAGCCTGACGGCTGACTTCGGCTCTTGCAGATGATCCGCTACGAAAAGGCCGGGCAGCCCTAAACCCGAAACCCTAGACCCTGCCCAAGCCCGAAACCCTCAACCCCCAACCCTCAACCCTCAACCCTAAACCCTAAACCCTAAACCCTAAACCTTAAGCAGGGCTACAGCGGCCTTTGGATCATCCTGCGAATCGTCGGCACGACCTGGCCAAGCGCCGTGCCTCCAGCCCTCCTGGCGGCTGGCAGCGCGGCTGCAGATGCAGAGCACTTCAAGAACCCGAAGCCCTAAACCCTAAACCCTAAACCCTAAACCCTAAACCCTAAACCCTCAACCCTAAACCCTGAACCCGAAAGCCCTGCAACTGAATCCTACCTAAACAGTCAAGGCCCCCCCCCCCCCCCCTCGCCCATGGTCGATTGTTCAAGCCATAGTCCCAATAGCCGGACAGCTTTTGGTTCAGCAGGATTGTTGGGGTTTTGGGGTGAGAAGGGATCTCTTCAAGGGATGCTTTTCATATCCCCCCCCCCACCCAACCCTGAAGGCCCAAACACGGCTTAACGACAAGGGATATTTGGAATGTTTTTGCGGCTAGGGCTTTTATCCCATGACAGGATTGCTTTTTTTGTTAGACTTTAGGATTTGGGGTTCTCGGCTTTTTGGGGGTCTGCAGCCTGGTAGGAATCAGCCTCTTCATGGGCCTCCACCCGGACATCGATGCCCTTAGCAGAAACCGGGACGCCTACGTTGGCCACCCGTATGCCTTCAGGCTCTTCGCGATGATGGTCTGCAATCTGCTGATTTTCAAGATGAACTCTGCGTACCAAAGGTACTGGGAGGCAAGATCGCTTGGGGGTTTAGACGTTGTCACTGCAACTTTTGTTTCCCCCCAAGCCCTGCAAGAGTTGGAATACCCTAAACCCTAAACCCTAAACCCCAAACCCTGAACCCTAAACCCCAAACCCTAAACCCTAAACCTGCGCAGCCGGGTAAGAGGCCGCGGGAGCATTGCAGTCTATGGCCACGAAGTGGCTGGATGGGGCGTGCATGGCCATCTCCTTCGACGCTGGAGGCAGGGGCTGACCCTCAGCCCTAAACTCTACACCCTCAACCCTCAACCCTAGACCCTAAACCCTAAGACCTAAACCGACCTAAACCCTAAACCCTAAACCCTAAACCCTAAACCCTAAACCCTAAACCCTAAACCCTAAACCCTAAACCCTAAACCCTAAACCCTAAACCCTAAACCCTAAACCCTAAACCCTAAACCCTTTGATATATTTCATTCCCCAAGCAGTGTGCCAAGACTATGGGGTTACAACGTCAACCTTGGAGACCACATGAACCTTAAAATTGGGATCATCTATCCAACGGAACTAGAATCCCTGTTAAGGTATATATATATATATATATATATCATTGTTTTTTTTTTTTTGTGTGTGTGTGTGTGTGTTGTGTTGTGTTTTGTCTTGTTTTGTTTGGTATTTTGTTTGGTTTTATATGTTTTTCGTTTGTTGTTCCTATTTGGTCTTGGTTTTGTCTTGTGTTTGTTTTTCCCCACCTTCGGTGTGGGGGTTGTTAGATTTTAGACTTAACTCTTCTCTTCGCCCGGAACTCTTCTCCTCGCCCGGTCTACTCCTGGAGACTCCCTGGAGTGCCCAACCTAGAGACTCTCTGGAGTGCCCAACCCCAGAGATTGCCTGGAGTGCCCAACCCAGACACTCCTGGAGTGCCCAACCCCAGAGTCTCCCTGGAGTGCCCAACCCAGAGACTCCCTGGAGTGCCCAAACCTGGAGTGCCCAACCCAGAGTCTCCCTGGAGTGCCCAACCCCAGGGTCTCCCTGGAGTGCCCAACCTCAATTGCAAGCAAAATCTAAGAAAGCGTATTTGAATCAATGTGTCTTTGTTTGAACATCTTGTTAGCGCTCTTTCCTTTTAACGAGGAGCAAGGTGGGGATGTTCGAAGTAAAATAATTGTTTTGTTTTGTTCAGTGTTGTGTTGTTTTGTGTTGTTTGGTTTTGTCTTGTCTTGTTTGTCTTATCTTACTTGTTTTGTTTGTAAAGTTAAAGAACCTTAGTGAACATGTTAACCTGAGTCTCGCCAGTGAAAAGAACGACTGAGATGAATATTGAGCGCGTGATTCAATGAACGCATCAAAACAACCATCTATTTTGCTTTCCAAGGCATTACTAGTTTATCACGAGTGAGAACATCATAGTAATATCTTCACGGGGCAATACTAGTAAGATTTGTGAATTCAAGAGCGAATAAAGTGAGCTCACAAAGAGTTACTCCATTGTTGTAATCAGGAGTTTTTGGACTTTTCGTGTGGCCTTTACTAGACTTCATTTGGCCGCTCATGATATGATTACTGTATTCCTTGAGCACTTGGTTGTTCATGCAAAAGCCCTTACATGCTGTACATTATCAATGGGGCTTTTGCGGACACCCTAAATAACTTCATTCATGAGGGACAAGTCGGTGTAATCAACTGTTCAATCCACGAAAAGACACCTGCAAATCAAGGAATTCTTTGAGACACCTTTCTTACCATCATTCCTTGCAACGTGGCAGCGGAACTTCTTGGCCGCCGTGAATCCTTCCTCAATGACCTGCAATAGTGCATTGATGCGGCCCTTGGTTATTCTTGTTGGGCCGTTCATGTTGTTCTTTGGAAGAGCTCCTTAACAATATACCAGACACGAAGGGAGCTCTCGTAAACTTCATCCGCAAGCCAGATATTGAGCTTAGAGGTTCGCTTATTGTTTTGTTATTGTGCGCACTCTTCCAACGAGGATTCGCATTCGGACAGGGTGGGATGCTCATGGTGATCATTTGTTTGGTTTGTCGTTTGCTTTAGTGTGTCTTTGTTTGCTTGCTTGCTTGTTCTCTTGCTTGCTTGATTGTTTGTCTGTTTCTGCGTGTGTGTGTGTGTGTGTCAACATGTACTTTCTGCGCCTGTGGCACCAAAATCAGCTGTCGATTGCAAGGCTGTCTAAACCTTAAACCCTAAGCCTCAAACTGGGTCCTGGAATGCTCTTGAAGTGGTCTTACACTGTTTGGGGACTAGGCCGGGCAGAATAGAATTTTCCTTTACAAGATCCTGTAATATCCCTCTGCTTCGGAGTTTTTAATATTACCTGCAAGGGCTTCTTCCCCCTTCTACAACAGCCCTATTGTCATCTCTTTTCAGGACTGTTCGGGTTTAGGGTTTAGGGTTTAGGGTTTAGGGTTTAGGGTTTAGTGTTTAGGGTTTAGGGTAAAGGGGAACATCCCAAGTTTCTAGGGTTTAGGGCCTGATCCCGGCGCAGGTGATCCTGACCATCCATACCTCAACGGCAGCGAGTGGCAGAGGACCAGCACATGCCTCCAGGTTAGGGTTTAGGGTTTAGGGTTTAGGGTTTAGGGTTTAGGGTTTAGGGGTTTAGGGTTTAGGGTTTAGGGTTTAAGTTTGAAGCTGCAGCTTTGTCCCTAGGGCTTCCTTCGGGTGTCGAAGCTCAGCCTTGTGGGTTCGGGGTTGATTCGCACCCCACAACTACAGCCCAACGCTACAGCCGAAACCCTAAAGCCTCCACCCTAAACCCTAAACCCTAAACCCTAAACCCTAAACCCTAAACCCTAAACCCTAAACCCTAAACCCTAAACCCTAAACCCTAAACCCTAAACCCTAAACCCTAAACCCTAAACCCTAAACCCTAAACCCTAAACCTAAACCCTAAACCCTAAACCCTAAACCCTAAACCCTAAACCCTAAACCCTAAACCCTAAACCCTAAACCCTAAACCCTAAACCCTAAACCCCAACTCCCGAACCTTTCCCTCGTGCAGGAGCTCCGATCCTGACCCCAGCACATGTAGCAAGGAACCTCGCGGGCCATTATCGGGCTTGGTTTAGGGTTTATAGGTTTTTTAGGGTTTACAAGGTTTGCAGGGTTGATAGGGTTTGTAGGGTTGAGGGTTTAGGATTTCGGGTTTAGGGGTAGAGCTTGGGGTAGAGGGTTCTGGACGGCTTAGGGGTTAGAGCGTCGGGGTTTAGCTGCCGTATGAAGAAGCCAGCTTAAAACTCCAGCAGAGGTGTGAGGTTTAGGCTTTACGGTTTCTTACGGCGTCGGGCTTGGGGTTCGTAGTTCAGGGGCATACACTGGCAGACTCAAGAACAGAAAGCATGCTTGCAATACTCGCTGGTTGCCTGAAGAACCAGACACTCCCATGCCCAGGGTGGCCCAGATCACGCCGAGTATGTGAAGGAGGTCCTTCACCTCTGCAGCCTGCTCCATGCCGTGACACTTCAGCACCTCCGGAGAGATGAGAACCTCGACAACCTGGTGCCAGCAGCGGCGGGGCCCCGCCGCGGCCTGAAAGTGAGCGCGTGTGCAGAAGCATCGCCGTCAACATCAGAACGTTATTGTATTCACGACTGCTACTGCTGATGCTGCTGCTACTGCTACTGCTCCTACTCCTACTACTACTACGACGACGACTACTACTACTACTACTGCTACTACTACTGCTACTACAACAACAACTACTACTACTCCTACTGCTACTGCTGCTGCTACTGCTCCTGCTGCTGCTGCTGCTGCTGCTGCTACTACTCCAACTACTACTACTACTACTACTACTCCTCCTCCTCCTCCTCCTCCTCCTCCTCCTCCTCCTCCTCCTCCTCCTCCTCCTGCTGCTGCTGCTGCTGCTGCTGCTGCTGCTGCTGCTGCGACTGCTACTGCTACTGCTACTGCTACTGCTACTACTACTACTACTACTACTACTACTACTACTACTACTACTACTACTACTACTACTATCACTATCGTTATCATTTCTATTGCTGTGGGTATTTCTCCTATACTGATCATGAACTGCGTGTCTCTCTCCTGCCGAATTAGCAACTCAGGGCACACCATCCTGCCCAAGAGCCCGTCGTTTTGGTCCGAGAGGCAGAGCTGCTAGCAGGGTGACCTTGTCTGCTGACAAGAACTCCGGATTGACTTTTTGGTACCTTCGAAGCTTCGCTTCATCTGTGCAGTGTAGCTGCCATAGCTTTAGGGTTTAGGGTTCAGGATTCAGGGTGTAGGGTTTAGGGTTTAGGGCAGCGCGACCAAGTGTGCAATGTCGACTGCTACGGGTGCGCCAGGTCCATGTTCTCCGCGGATCATATCTCGGACCTCTACAAGATACTGAGGTTGCTCGACTCAGTAGTAGAGTAGGTAACCTTTCACATGTTTGGGGGGGGGGGGGTCAAAAAGGGGGGGGGGGTATCGTGCGATCCCTACAAAACCCAAGGGTGAACCTTTCGTTCCCCCAGGATGCGGGACAACTAAGGTTGCCTGTCTTGGGCGGCCTCAGACCGGAGGACGCAGGGGAACGTTTCTAGCCCGAAACCCTAAACCCCAAACCCCAAAACCCTAAACCCTAAACCTTTCTTCGAGGATTGCTCAGAGCAGAGAAGGGCATTTCCCGAAATAGGGATACCCTGAATAACACCCTCACAATGACATGATTCTCGTTCTCCTCATGAATTCTAGGAGCCTCCCGAGAGTGTACCCCCCCCCCCCCCAGTTTTAGGAATCTAAACCCTAAACCCGGACTTAGGGTTTGCGGAGTGTGGGGTTCGACGATGTTTAGGCTTCGATACTAGCCAGAACAACTGGGTTCTTTGGGTTCCGGCGTATAAGTAAAGAAACTTGAAGATACACAAACAGAGGGTTAGGGTTTAGGATAAGTATAAATGTTTAAACTTATATAAAACAAATACATGGGAAATGTATGTCTGTGGGTGGGTGTGTGTGTGTGTGTGCTTTGTTGTATATATGTATATACGTATGTATAAGGTACTTCCGGCACAGTCCCCCCAGAGGCCCTAAAGTTAGGAAGATCCCGAACGGCTCGGAGTGCCAGGAGAAGGAAGCTCTCATGGGCGACAGCAAAGGCCAATCACTCCCGACGTGTGCACGGGCTGCCATGGTAGGCACCCCAGTGTTAGGGTTTCGGGTTTGGGGGGTTTAGGGGTCCAGGGGTGTAGGGGTTTAGGGGTTTAGGATTAGGCAAACCTTAGAACTACCAGGCCAGGAGTGCATTCATTTTAGGGTTTAGGGTTCTGGGGGTTTAGGGTTTAGGGGCTTAGGGGTTTAGGGGTTTAGGGGTTCAGGGGTTCAGGGTTTAGGGCTCGAGTTTAGGGTTTAGGGCCAGGGTTTAGGGTTCTTTCTCAAATGCTTGTGGGCCCGACACCAGCTGCTCCCAGGTTGTAGGGGATGTTGGGTGACCTCTCTTCCCAAGCTAGTCGCTTCTGGAATGTTCCCTAAACCCTAAACCCATCATCTAAGCCCTAAAGAAGCCTTTCATTTTGGTCCCACAATCTAGCATGGCCCGGCCGCCTCAGTCTCCTGAAGGGGTTTGTTTTCTTGTTTATATGAAACCCAGTGGGAACACTGAACATAAGGAAGAGTAGTTCTCTAAGTTAGGTTCCCTTCTGAGGCCAGTTCGTTTTGGTACGGCACCTTACAAAAAGGATGACCCCAAAAGGAAAGGAAGCCTCAACTACCCATATGTCTGCACTCAGATTGTTTAAGGGTTTAAAGGGAACCGAAGAGCGGGCCCTTATCATGTATAGTAAAAGAGGGTTATCTAACAGAGGACCCAAATTAAGGGCCCATACTTGGAACCCTAAACCCTAAACCCTAAACCCTAAACCCTAACCCTAAACCCTAAACCCTAAACCCTAAACCCTAAACCCTAAACCCTAAAAAGGCTACTTCGAATCCCCCTAACAAAGGATTTCCCCCAAGTAAAGAGCAAGGTGGAGGGTTGGTTCATGCGCCGCCTCATCTGCCGACAGAAGCATGAGCAAGGCCGGGCTGCGTCAGCAGTTTAGGGTTTAGGGTTAGGGTTTTAGGGTTTTAGGGTTTAGGGTTTAGGGTTTAGGGTTTAGGGTTTAGGGTTTAGGGTTTAGGGTTTAGGGTTTAGGGTTTGTTGATTTTTCAGCCGGGTTTCAGATGTAGAGGTTTTAAAGCGAAGATTTTTGGGAGGTTCTGCCATGTGTGCGTCTTGGGTTAGGCGATCATGTGAGCAACGAAGCAGGGGAGTAGGGGATATAGATTCCTAAGCCTCAGCCCCTAAACCTAAGCCCCTACGCCCTAAACCGTAAACCCGAAGCTCTAAAACCTACACGCTGAGTAATCTTATAGGATATGGAGTGAAGACCTGTGCCCGAAACCCCTAAGCCTAAACCCTAAACCCTAAACCCTAAACCCTAAACCCTAAACCCTAAACCCTAAACCCTAAACCCTAAACCCTAAACCCTAAACCCTAAACCCTAAACCCTAAACCCTAAACCCTAAACCCTAAACCCTAAACCCTAAACCCTAAACCCTAAACCCCTAAACCCTAAAAACCCTAAACCCTAAACCCTAAACCCTAAACCCTAAACCCTAAACCCTAAACCCTAAACCCTAAACCCTAGCCCTGAACCCTGAACCCTGAACCCTAAACCCGAAACCCTAAACCCTAAACCCCTTACCTACAGCCCAGGGGGCTTCGGATCGGAGCTCCGAGGTGAAACTTCCAAAACATCGCCTCCCATCCTCAGCCGACTCTATCAGGCCTAGGGCGGTTAGGGGGGGGGGGTTTAGGGTTTTTAGGGTTTTTAGGGTGTAGGGTCTAGGGTCTAGGGTTTAGGGTTTAGGGTTTAGGGTTTAGGGTTTAGGGTTTAGGGTTAGGGTTGAGGGTGTAGGGTTTAGGGTTTAGGGTTCAGGGTGTGCAGATTTTTAGTTTTTTGGTTTGGGGGAGGGGGGGGTGGGGCTGGTTCTCCAACTTGGGGTCCCTTGTCGAGGTAGGGTGTAGGCTTTAGGGCTTGTAGCTTAGGGTTTAGGGCTTAGGCTTAGGGCCTAGGGTCTAAGTGAGGCCCTTGGGATTTGACATTTTTCCCTTTGGGGGCCATACTTCGGGGACCCGGAAGAGAGGGACCCTAATTAAGACAACTCGGTGTCGGGTCAAGGGGTTTTGGGATTCGGTGGGGGGGTGAGGGCTTAGGACTCTAAAGGGGCTTTGGGGGTGGGGGGGTTTAGGTCTCAATCCTAAGCACAAAACCCTTAACCAGGAGCCCCAAACCCTAAACCCTAAGCCCTAAGCCCTAAATCCTAAACGCTAAACCCTAAACCCTAAACCCCAAACCCTAAACCCCAAACCCTAAACCCTCATCTGAAGGTGATCTCGGATGGGACCTTGTGGTCGTCCACCGCCGCCAAGAGCGAGCCTCGCCTGCCCCAGGAATGGGGTTTAGGTTTAGGGTTTAGGGTTTAGGGCTTAGGGTTTAGGGTTTAGGGTTTAGGGTTTAGGGCTTAGGGTTTAGGGCTTGGGTCTCAGGGGAATGTTGCGAGAGCGCGTTTCGCGGTTTACGGGTTTGCGGCTTTAGGGTTAAGGGGTTTAGGGTTTAGGGTTTAGGGTTTAGGTGTGCAGATTTTGGGGGTTTTTGGGGGTTCAGGGGCTTAGGGCTCTGGTGGGGTAAAATTGGGATTTAGGGGCCAGGGTTTAAGGTTCAGATTTGGGGTCGTAGCTTACCCTAAACCCTTGACCCCTAAACCCTAAACCCTAAACTCTAAACCCGAAATACTCCGGCCCATGCCGAGTCGGAGATCCCCTTCCCGTTCCCGTACCAGAACTTCGTCGAGGCACCACTGGCAAGAGGGAGGGGAGGCTAGGGCTTCGAAGCTTGAAGCCCAACCCGACCCCTGATCTCAAAACTCCCCCACCAACCCTAAACCCCCTAAGCCCCTAATCGCCTAAACCCCTAAACCCCGAACCCCGAAGCCCCCAACCCCTAACGCCCCGAAACCCTACACCCCTAAACCCCTAACCCCCTAAACCCCTAAAACTCGACACCCTAAACACCTAAACCCTAAACCCCTAACCTCCTAAACCCCTAAAACTCGACACCCTAAACCCCTAAACCCTAAACCCTAAACCGTGGTCATCACCCTAAAACTCGACACCCTAAACCCCTAAACCCTAAACCCTGCGCCCCTCATTGGCAGGTGTTGGTGTGGCTCTTCAGCTTTATGGCGCCCGTGGTCATCAACGGTATCATCTTCGAGCAGTTCCTAAGGCTTTAGGGTTGAGGGTTTTAGGGTTTAGGTTTAGGGTTTTAGGGTTTAGGGTTAGGGTTTAGGGTTTTAGGGCTTAGTGTTGAGGGTTGAGGGTTGAGGGTTATAGAGTTGAGGGTTTGGGCTTTTTTTAATTTAGGGTTAGGGTTTATAGGGTTTAGGGCTTCAGCGTTGGAGGTTCAGACTCTGGGGTTTTGAGGTCTGGGGTTTAGTGTAGCACTGGAGTTTTCAGACTTGGGGGCTTCGGTTTGTAGGGTGTTTCGGGCTTCAACACTTGGGGGGTTTATGGATTCAGGACTCAGAGGGTGAAATCTCCCTGTTCAAGGGCTTCTTTAGTGGGAATCTATCAAAAGAGTACATATTTATAGTACACATGTGTATGTATATGTATATGCATATGTATATGTATATGTATATGTACATGTATATATATATATATATATACAATATTTTTAGGGTTTAGGACTTAGTCTTAGTGTGGGTTGAGGACTCTAGGGCTTTCCAGATTCCCGCGCGCATGTGGGGCTGAACCTTGCGCCTACACCACTGGGCCTGAAGCTTGAGACTAGGGGCTTAGGGTTTCGGGTTGAGGCTGAGGGCCCCAAAACCCTTAACCCTAAACCCTAAACCCTAACCCCTAAACCCTAAACCCTAAACCCTAGTGCGTGAACCCCAGGCCCTGAGCCCTCCGCTAAGCTGTGCAGCCCGGGATGAGAATCTTTTTTTTTTAGAAGAAACGAAGCTTGGCAGGACAGCCGCCGTCTTCACCGTGGTGCTGTGCTTCCACACACTCAAAAACACAGCTGACGTCATGGAGGAGTGCGTCTAGGGTTTAGGGTTTAGGGGGGCACGTAAACCTTAAAACCCGAAACGCCAAAAAAACAAAACCCAAGACCCTCAACCTTGCTCCACTGCAAAGCGGACGAGCCACAGTACATCTCGGACGGACGCTTTCCACCAGGACCCGTACCTTCCTTATGATCCAAACGTGTCTCGGCCCATTCCAGACTACAAGTTCCGGGTTTGGGTGCTTTGGGTTTGAACGTTGGACGGGGTATTTAGGGCCTAGGGTTTGGTTTGGGCTTGCGCCGCGCCTGAATCCCCAAAAGCCTAGGTTCAGTTTTTTTCTCCTCAGTGTCCATTTCTATTTTTTTTTTGGGCGGGGGGGGGGGGGGGGCAGGGTTGAGGGTAGAGTTTGGGGTTTTGGGGTTTGGGGTTTAGGGTTTTTAGGGTTCAGGGTTCAGGGTGTTAGAGCATCCCTCTCCGAGGATCTTCCCCTCGTCTCGTGGCAGCGCTCCGTGAATGCCCGGCTCCTGTGCTTCGGCCACGTGCCGCAGGACGAGGCAGAGTCCATACACGAAGGCCGGACCAGGGGTTTAGGGTTTAGGGTTTTAGGGTTTAGGGTTTAGGGTTTAGGGTTTAGGGTTTAGGGTTTAGGGTTTTAGGGTTTAGGGTTTGGGTTGAGGGTTAGTTTAACCTTTACCTTTGGGGTATATATAATACACATATATATTTGTTTTCTGTTGACATATTTTTCCTCTGCCATAATGAGTGCCCAGGGTACTCAGCAACTTTTACCTGACTAGGGTCCTCGGGGGGTCTAGGGTGGGTTGATTGGGGCTTTAGGGGGCTTTTAGGGGTGCAGGGCTCAGGGTCTCCCCCCCCCCTCAACCGATAAACCCTACACCCCAAACCCCAACCTTAAACCCCAAGCCTTAAACCCTAAACCCTAAACCCTGAACCCAGCAGCGTTTAGGGTTTGGGGTGCGGGTGTGGGGTTTAGGGTTTATACGTTGAGGGAGGGGCCCTAAAGCCCCTTAAAGCCCCAATCAACCCTAGCCCCAAACCCTACATCCTAGAACGCTCTGAGGCCCTCAAACCCCTAAGCCTTTGCCTTAATCATTAACTAAACCCTTCAACCCCAAAAAACTGAAACCCTAAAAGCCCTGAAGCCGAATAACCCAAAAACACCCTAGTAGCCCTGAAACCCTAATCACCCTAAAACCCCAAAACCCTTGCTGCCCTAATAACCAAAACCCTAAGAACCTAGACCCCTGAAGCCTTAATCTCCTATAAACCTCTGCGATGCGGTTGGGGGTTTACGAAAGCAGGAGACCCTTAATATAGACCTCCAACAGCAGGATCCCCTCATAAAAAGGACCCCTGCAAGGTACCCTAAACCCGAAACCCTAAACCCTAAACCCTAAACCCTGAACCCTACACCCTAAACTCCGAACCATAAACCCCCAGTTGCGCTGGATGGGGATCCCGACGGCCTCAGCCTACAGGCAGGGCACGCTTCTGAAGGGGGAGGGGGGGGGGGGGGGGGAGGGGAGGGCTGGGGGGGGGGAGCCGGGCAGGGGACTTGAAGGGGAGCTGGAGGGGGGGGGGGGTTGGGGGCTTGAAGGGTGTTTAGGTTTGTTCGCCGTTTTTTTTGTCTGCTTTTTTGCAGGGGCTTTAGGGTTGGGCTTTTGGGTTTTGTAGGGTTTTAAGGGGTTTTAGAGTTTTGTTAGGTTTGCTTTTGTGTCTTGTTTTTAAAGGGTTTTGGGGGCTTTGCGGTTGGAGGGCTTGCGCGCTTCTGGGCGCGGGGTGCAGGGTCGAGGCTTTAGGGTTTCGCTCCTCTGTGCTTGGGGTTTAGGGTTTAGGGTTTAGGGTTTAGGGTTTAGGGTTTAGGGTTTAGGGTTTAGGGTTTAGGGTTTAGGGTTTAGGGTTTAGGGTTTAGGGTTTAGGGTTTAGGGTTTAGGGTTTAGGGTTTAGGGTTTGGGTGCAGGGGTTTTCGGGGTTAAGGGGTAGAGGTTTAAGGCTTTCGCGGAGTTTAAGGGGGTTTCGGGGTTAGGAGTCTAGGGGTGTCGTCTTGATGGGGTCACCACGGAGGTTGCGAGCCAAAGGACTGGGATTGGCGGATGTGTAGCACTTCTTTCTGCACGCCCTCACCCTAAACCCTAAACCCTAAACCCGAAACCCGAAACCCGAAACCCTAAACCCTAAACCCTAGGCATCCCAGTGCTCCTGTTGTTTGGCGCAGGGGGTGAAGTTGTCCGTGGGGACGTCCGAAGCAAAGTTGCAGGAAGAGTCCGTGTCCGAGGCGCTGGTCAGGGTTGCGGTTCAGGGTTTAGGGTTTAGGGTTTAGGGTTTAGGGTTTAGGGGTTAGGGGTTAGGGGTTAGGGTTTAGGGGTTTAGGGGTTTAGGGTTTAGCGTTTCGGGCATTTGGGTGTCTGACAATGACGGTTTATAGGGCTTCGGGCTTCGTTGGGGTTCGGAGACTGGGAGGCTGCGGGTTTCGGGCTAAAGGGGCTTCAGAGGATAGGGCTCTAGGGTGGGATTATGCCTCACGCAGGATCACTGCACGGTTACCACGTGTACTAGACCCTAAACCCCAAACCCCAAACCCCAAACCCTAAACCCTAAACCCTAAACCCTAAACCCTAAACCCTAAACCCTAAACCCTAAACCCTAAACCCTAGAAAAACCTCAGCCCTATAGCCCCAAGCTGCGAGTCGCAGCAGGCGCCGGTGAAACTGCCACAAGGCGGCCAGCAGGCGCGCGTATTTTGGGTTCCAGGGGACCCCAAACCCTAAACCACCCTAAACCCTAAACCCTAAACCCTAAACCCTAAACCCTAAACTCTAAACCCTAAACCCTTCAAATCACATGCTCTAGGTTTCAGGAACCCTGAACCCTGAATCCAGGGTTTAGGGTTTAGGGAAGCTCACAGGACATGGGAGCCAACTACATGTGACCCTCATGATTCATGATGATTGTTCGTAGCTGACTAGCGTTGTTGGGCGCGGTCTGTGAGTGAGCGCCATCCCCCCCTCCCCCTCTCCCCTGCCCCCGCGGAGATCACAAAAACCTAGCCCTAAAGCCTAAATGCCCTAAACCCTAAACCCTAAACCTTAGACCCTAAATGCCCTCGATCCTAAGCACTTTTGAAGTACACCGGCCAGGGCTCGGTGTCGGCGAGTTGCTTGGAGTGCCTCCCGGCCACCCGGCCAAGCGTTTTGGGGCTTTGGGGGGGGAGGGGGGGGGGTTCAGGGTTTAGGGTTTAGGGTTTAGGGTTTACTGGGTCGGCAGGGGGTGTTACGGGTTCAAGAGTAGTTTCGGGGTTGTACATAGAGGGTGAGGATTTTGGGGTGGGGGTTAGGGGTTGAAGTGTAGTTTAGGGTTTAGGGTTTGGGGTTTAGGGCTTAGGGTTTAGGGTTTCGGGGCTTAGGGTTTAGGGTTTAGGGTTTAGGGATTCAAGGCTTGGGGTCTACAGGAGGTTTGAAGGGTTCAAGACCTCTGTGGCTTTTAGGGGGAAGGGCCTGGGCCTTGTGGGTTTCACCAAGGACCCAGAGAAGGCCCTCATTTCTTTTGTTTTAGGGTTTAGGTTCCGCTTGAAGCCCCTTGAAGCCAAAAGGGCACCCTTTTTAGTCCTAGGTTACTTTTGAGCCTAGTCGCTCATGGGGGGGGGGGTGCCTCGAAGGGGTGGTAACACAGTCAATCTATAAGCTGGCTTGGGTTTTTAGGCCTTAGCAAGTCGACCCTCAGAAGCTCTTTGGCCTCTAGGCTGCATGAGGAAAGACAGTTCATAGCCCTCAGCCCCCAGCTCTAAACCCCATACCTTACTTCCCTAGCACCCTAAACTTTAAACCCTAAACCTTGGTACCCTAAACCCTGTTCCATGCCTCTGAATGGTAATCATAGGGAAGCCGGTCGGGGTCTCTCCATGTTCCTCCCAGCCTGAGGTCACTTTTGGGATCGCACACCTACACGCCTCGCACCGCTCCCGTTTCGCCTAGAGAGGGTTTGGGTTACTTGGGGTTTAGGCTGTTGAGGGTCGCAAGTGGAGACTCTGGAGAAGTGAGCAAAGCCTTGGGTACAGAGCTTCTTGTGATAGGGTTCAGTCTGCATCTCTGAACCTTCCACGATGGAAGAGCCCGATAGACATCTTCCAGCCATTGTTGGCAGATTCTTGGCCTCTGTAGCAAAGTCCTTCAAAAGCCGCAGGTGAAAAATGAGTCGTGGAGCATGCGCTGGCAAAGCCAGCAGCTGCTCAAGCACATGATTGCACCCGAGCTGAAAAGCTAGCAGCCCGGACCGAGTTGCACAGCTTCTTGCTGAAACTAGCGCGCCGCCAGCTCGCGGATCACTAGGTCTCTGCTGACGTCGGTAGCTCGGATCGGCTGCGCTGCGTGAAGGTGGTGGTGACGACAGCGCGTGACGCTGAAGGTACCGCAGAGGCTGGGAGTCGTGCGCCGTCAGATGCGCGTGCTTCGATTGAGCTGACCATGCTGCAGGTCGAGAAAGTGGGTGGCTGCTCGATTGCACATACGGACGTTGAGAACAAACCGTCTGGTCCACATGAATAGAACGACGATCATCTCTAGCTAGTAACCCTAAACCCTAAACCCCAGATCCTAAACCCTAAACCCTAAACCCTAAACCCTAAACCCTAAACCCTAAATTACTAAACCCCTAAACCCTAAACCCTAAACCCAAATGTCCTTGCCATCATTGCGACCAAGATGATCATGCCGAGGAGGCCACTTACGTGTGATGTTTGCAAGAATGGAGCATCGGGTCGCAGTAGCCGTAGTCTGTAGGGAAAAGGGTTTAGGGTTTAGGGTTTAGGGTTTAGTTTAGGGTTTGGGGTTTAATTAGGGTCCTTTCCATCATGAGATAGCTTCCGGCACTAAGCTGGTTGGAGCGCAGTCGCAATCCTCCTTTCTCTTAATCCGGCTTTTTCATCACTACTTGCTATCATGCTACACTAAACCCTAAACCCTAAACCCTTTTCCCTACAGACTACTGCTACGGCGACCCGATGCTCCAGTTTAGCCTCAGGCGACTACGCGCGGGGATGGCTTCAACAGTCATGCCTGCGACCGCTGCCCACGCCTGTGATCGCAGGCAGCCAAGTTGCCGCTCAACCCTCAACCCCAAACCCTAAGCCCCAAACCCTAAACCCTCAACCCTCACCCCCCACACCCGAACCCCCCCCCAAACGCCTAAAACCCTCATTTGTTGCCGATGGTTTTTCCCACAGGAGTTTGCTGCTTATGCCGCAAAGCACTGACGCAGGCCCGGGGGAGCTCCACAGACTGTCCGGCAGCGCAATTCTTAGTAGCCCAGTGGTACCCTTGTTTTTTTTTGTAATATGGGCTCCTTTATAAAATAGCCAACTCCAAACAAGGGTGCCCTTACCATGATATGGTTCCTGGGCTACTAAGAATTTCTATGAATAATGATTGCAATTTTACGGGTACTTGTGGGGGTTAGGGTCCCTTTTGGGGGTCCTTTTTGCAAGGTGCCGTACTATACAGGGGGGCCGGGGGGGGGGAGACCCAAAAAGGGACCCAAATTTAGAGAAGCACCCAGAAGTTTGTCCTACTTTAGGGTTTAGGGTTCTGGGTTTAGAGTTTAGGGAAAGCGTCAGAAACCCAGAGCAGCTGCAGTTACGAGGCGGTCCAGCCCGAAAACTGCATTTTCGCAAGGCGAAACCCTGTAAGATCAGCTGTTCGCCCTACATCACTTTGAGCTGGGGGGTGGCTACTTGCAAGGCTGTCCGCCCCCCGCAAAAAGCTGGACCTTAAGCCCTAAACTACTCTAAAAACCTAAAGCCTGAAACCCCAAAGTCTTAAATCCAACAGCCCCTTAAAACCCTTGAAAGCCCGTAAGCCCCTCAAACCCTTTGAGAACCCTCTCAACCCCAAACACTTAACAACCTTCAAAGCCATTAATAGCCTCAAACCAATCAAGCTCTTACAACCCTGGAAAGACTCTTCAAAGCGTTTCAAACCCTTACACCCCCCTCAAAAACTCTGAAAAACCGTTTAGAGACCCTTGAAAAAGTTCTTTTGAAAATCCTCAAGCCCTCAAAAACCTTAAAGCGATTAAAAGACCCTTGGAAGCCCTTAACACACTCAACAGCCCTGAAAACAAAAACCTTCAAATTGCTTAAAACCCTTATAAGTCCCTTACAACAAAACCTCAAAGCCCTTAAACCCCTTGACACCGGCACCTGCCTTGATCAACTAAACCCTAAACCCTAAACCCTAAACCCTAAACCCTAAACCCTAAACCCTAAACCCTGAACCCTAAACCCTAAACCCTAAACCCTAAACCTTGAACCCTGAACCCTAAACCCTGAACCCTGAACCCTAAACCCTGAACCCTAAACCCTAAACCCTGATCCGTCGGTTGCCGTCCCTCAGGAGGCCTTCACGCGCGGTGCCCGGAGAAAGCTCAGGCCTGCTAAAGGGTTGAGAGTTTAGGGTTTGGGGCTAGGTTTAGGGTTTAGGGTTTAGGGTTTAGGGTGTAGGGTTTAGGGTTTAGGGTTTAGGGTGTAGGGTTTGCAGGGTTTAGAGCTTAGGGCTTACGGTTTGGGGGGCTTGGGGCTTGGGATTTGTAGAGGGGTTCAAGGGTTTGGAAACCCTGAGCCCTAAACCCTACTGAAAACCCTAACCCCTAGACATAAACCCGGAAACCCGAAACCCTAAACCCTAAACCCTAAACCCTAAACCCTAAACCCTAAACCCTAAACCCTAAGGAGGTTCCCGGGGCTTCGCAACGCACCGCCAGGGCGGGATTGCCAACAGCCTGCGAGGCGCTGCGGAGCGAAGCTGGGGAGTTGCAGTTTCAGGGTTTAAATGTGCAGTTTAGGGTTTAGGGTTTAGGGTTTAGGGTTTCGGGTTTAGGGTTTAGGGTTTAGGGTTTAGGGTTTAGGGTTTAGGGTTTAGGGTTTAGGCTTCCAGTGCTCTGGCGCCTGTTGCTCGTGGCTGCAGATGAGGGTTGAGGGTTGAGGTTCGTCACGCAAGTGAAGCCCTAAACTCCTAAAGCCTAAGCCACCAACACCCATAGGGCCGAAGAAAGGAGGGGGTCTTAAACCCTAAGGCCTGAACCCCAAACCCTAAATCCTGAACCCTAAACCCTCAAGACCCTAGGCCCTTAAGACCCTAAACCCTTAAGACCCTAAACCCTCAAGACCCTAAATCCTGAACCCTAAACCCTAAACCGCGTCAGGCCTGTGCTTTGGGAGCTGCCGAGAGGACTTTGCCACATGCAGCTTGAATCCTCAGGGTTTATAGGGTTTAGGATTTAGGGCCCCTACTTGAAGACTCAAAATCCACCCTGAACGTTTAAAGCCTACTACCCTACAACCTTTAGGGTCTCTAACCCTAGAACCTTGAAACCCTTAAGACCCTAAACCAAACCCTTAAGACGCCTAAACCCTAAGGACGCAAGACCCTAAAGACCCCAAAGACCCTAAAGACCCTGAAGACCCTAAAGACCCTAAAGACCCTAAAGACCCTCAAGACCCTAAAGACCCTCAAGACCCTAAAGACCCTGAAGACCCTAAAGACCCTAAAGACCCTAAAGACCCTGAAGACCCTAAAGACCCTAAAGACCCTAAAGACCCTAAAGACCCTAAAGACCCTGAAGACCCTAAAGACCCTAAAGACCCTAAAGACCCTAAAGACCCTAAAGACCCTAAAGACCCTGAAGACCCTAAAGACCCTAAAGACCCTAAAGACCCTAAAGACCCTAAAGACCCTAAAGACCCTAAAGACCCTAAAGACCCTAAAGACCCTAAAGACCCTGAAGACCCTAAAGACCCTAAAGACCCTAAAGACCCTAAAGACCCTAAAGACCCTAAAGACCCTAAAGACCCTAAAGACCCTAAAGACCCTAAAGACCCTAAAGACCCTGAAAGACCCTAAAGACCCTAAAGACCCTAAAGACCCTAAAGACCCTAAAGACCCTGAAGACCCTAAAGACCCTAAAGACCCTAAAGACCCTAAAGACCCTAAAGAAGACCCTAAAGACCCCAAAAAGCCCAAAAGACCCAAAAGACCCTAAAGACCCTAAAGACCCTAAAGACCCTAAAGACCCTAAAGACCCTAAAGACCCTAAAGACCCTAAAGACCCTAAAGACCCTAAAGACCCTGAAGACCCTAAAGACCCTAAAGACCCTGAAGACCCTAAAGACCCTAAAGACCCTAAACCCTAAAGACCCTAAAGACCCTAAAGACCCTAAAGACCCTGAAGACCCTAAAGACCCTAAAGACCCTGAAGACCCTAAAGACCCTAAAGACCCTAAAGACCCTAAAGACCCTAAAGACCCTGAAGACCCTAAAGACCCCAAAAAGCCCAAAAGACCCAAAAGACCCTAAAGACCCTAAAGACCCTAAAGACCCTAAAGACCCTCAAGACCCTAAAGACCCTAAAAACCCTGAAGACCCTAAAGACCCTAAAGACCCTGAAGACCCTAAAGACCCTAAAGACCCTAAAGACCCTAAAGACCCTGAAGACCCTAAAGACCCCAAAAAGCCCAAAAGACCCAAAAGACCCTAAAGACCCTAAAGACCCTAAAGACCCTAAAGACCCTCAAGACCCTAAAGACCCTAAAGACCCTAAAGACCCTAAAGACGCTAAAGACCCTCAAGACCCTAAAGACCCTAAAGACCCTGAAGACCCTGAAGACCCTAAAGACCCTAAAGACCCTAAAGACCCTTAAGACCCTTAAAACCCTAAACCCTAAAAACCCTAAACCCTAAACCCTAAACCCTAAAGCCCTAAACCCTAAACCCTAAACCCAGCCGCCCAAGCGCTCCAGGAGGTCCACCTGGACCGCCCGGTGCTGCGAAGCTCTGAGCAGCGGCTCAGAGGGCCAAAGCTGGCCAGCCTCTCAAGGGATGTTTAGGGTTTAGGGTTTAGGGTTTGGGGTTTAGGGTTTAGGGTTTAGGGTTTAGGGTTTAGGGTTTAGGGTTTAGGGTTTAGGGGTTTAGATTTGTTTACT